ACTGATTGAACAAAGACTCCAACATAAATGGTAGTGTTTTATTTCAATGTAAACTTAGTAGCTCAGGGTAAAATGGACTCATTGTTACGCCTAAGTTACAGGTACCCAGTGACCACTGAGGAGCCAATTCCTATGTAAAACATATAAGGGTCTTTATGAAGAGCTCCAGGGCAAGGTCTCTCAGACTCTCAACTTTGTAGTGGATCAAAGTGAGAGCCTAGAGTCAAGGGATTCAGGGTTTTTATTGTGGTTACAACAAACTTGGGGAATTTTGATACAGGTCAGCAAATTAATATTTTAAAAACTGAATTTCTGGTGCAATCTGCAGGAACCAAACAGGAGGGCAAAACCACCTAAGAAACATGAATGTCAGGTTATCTATTCTCTGCAGGATGTCTTAGGTTATCTGTTGCTAAGGGGGATGGGTTGTCATAGGATACTTGCTCAGGAGGACTCTGTGATTTTGTTTCTGGAATTGGAGTTTAGCTCCTGATCTCACACAAAATGGAGTTTCTTCAAAAAATGGAGTTGGTTGGGCTTAACTGTATCATCCAGCAAAGAATTCTACATTTATTAGAAAAACACCATTCCTGGTTCCCAGGGATATATGTGATACTGCCTGAAAATTGTTTTATTCATGACTGATCATTGTAGCCATTGTAGGTACTTCCAAAAAAGAAACCATTAGGGATGCATTTCATGTGAGTTAATCAAAATGAGTTGTCTACAAGCCCCGATTCCAGTTTTATCTTGAAAGTCTGATTCCTGATTTGAGAAAATTTCTGTTACTAAGGAATGTTCCAAGGTAAGATTTTTTGTCACACATACTGTACTGAACTTACATTGCTAACCCTACATATAAAGGGCACATATTTGTCTAGTATTGACTACTTAACACAAAACCAGCAAAATTTCTGTGACTGATATCATTATGCTTACTGTCATTTGAAAAAAATAGCAACATAACTTAGTTTACAAGCATTAGCACTGTTTGTTTCGATGTTTTTCCTAATTATATGTAACCCCTTACCTCCTACTGTTTATATTTACAACATAATGGTCATAACATTTTAAACTTTGTGGGATTAAAACAAAAACAATTACAAGATTAATCAGTGGATTAATCAGCCCTGTTTGGAAGAGTGTTAGTTCCAAGGTACACATGTTCTCTAACAAGGGACTGTGTGTGATATACTGTTTGCCAGAGTTTATGTGGATCACCATCCTCATACCATCACATATGAGTCTTCTTGTAAATGCAACCTATTGATCTAGCAATGTACAGAAAATTTAGAAGAGTCTAAGTCAGCATTGTTTTCTGACTGTCACTCATTACTGTTAGCTATTGTTTTATTTTATATCCATAATAAAATATGGATATATGAGAGAGAGAACCTATGGTCTTCATAGGTAAACATTTCCTCCACCTGGCACTATTGTTCATCTGTATGCCTGTTTGTATGTGTGTGTGTGGGGGTAAATAGTGAATGTAATTTGTGTACAATACAACAAATGAAAGAAGGACAGTGTTGATTAGGGAATTTTAAAGAAGAGGTGCTTTCATATTATTTAGCACATGCAGTATAGATTTAATTTTCTGCTTTCTAGGTATGGCTTAAAATAATATGTCCCCTAGTTATACATCACCTGTTCATGCTATGATTACATTCTTCCTATATAGAATGGAATATATATATATATATATATTTAAGATATGATTTTCATAATAAAGTTTGCATTCACTGGAATATTTGCTATTAGCAAATATAGATTAAAATTTTGCCCAGTAAACTACTTTAGTGATGAAATGATCACATTCCAAATGCATTTTCAGTCATGAGCTTATCTATCCTCCATTAAAAGATAAATCCTGCATATTTTATGTTGAGTCTAATAAATGCCATGTAAAATAGGGCATTTTTTAAAAACTAGTGTTTGTATTATATTATTGGACTTATTTTCCTTTTGGAATGTATTTTATCTGTTTTGGAATATATATGCATATTTCACATACATTTCATTCTAATTCTTTGTGATTTGACACAATGAATTCATTCTTCCTGAGTTTCTTTTGTAAAATCATTTTCTTATTGAGAATTTTATACAAAATTATTGTGATCATATTCACACCCCTCTCCTCTCTCTCACTCCTCCTCCTCCCCCAACTTTCTACCTAATGATTTTTGTCTTATGTATTCAGTCAAAAAGTATTTCTTATGTGTTTATCACACTGTTACACCAAAGAGAACTACATAAGAATCTGAGCAATAATCAGTACATTTTTTTTTTAGTAAAAACAAATCATTAAAAATTTATTTTGAAAGCATTTATATTTTATATTTTATTAGGGTATTCTGCAGAACATATTAAAACAATAGTAAGTTTTAAAGTATTGTCTTCTTTTACACCTTCTTTAATTTAAAAATATAGAGCAAAATATCTTCATTTCCAGGGAGACATTCCTAGGATTTTGTTTTCACCCTCACATAGTTTTATAACTATCCTGATATTTTCTATTTCTGTTGATCTCTATGATTCTTATTATTGCTGAGTGGACTAGCTAAATTTATGGAATAACATTTTACAATGACATTTAGGCATTGTTTTGAGATTAAAGGACATACCTGATTATGGCTTGGGAGTTCCTAATTCCATTCAGCAGGTCAAGTGTGGCAAAGTGTCTTGCAAAGTCACAGGCTGGCATCCTATTGGGGTCTGCCTAATAAGATGTTTAGAAATAGAAACCAGCTTATGCCGTGACTGGTTCAAAGCTTGGACTGACATCAAGTCTTTTACTGCCTAAGATAATTAAGCAATCCATGTAATCACTCTTTTATTGGCTATCTGTCAAGATAGGCTAAGAAACAACCCACCTCAGATCGTTTGTTACCATCTTTCTGGCTATGCCATGTCATGCAGCCCATTTAATCTCAAGAATGGAAAAACAAAATTAAGTTTAGAAGCATAAATTTTAGGTCAGTGGTATGATTTAAAATTCTACTTCATTACATCCTTTTCAATTACATTAACATTCTACAAATATCTACTGATAAGTATGTTGGCTTTGCCTTTCATCAGAGAAAGGACCACATTTAAACAATGCCTGATCACACAATTACTTTCTACTATGTTTGGAAGGCTTCTGTATCCACCTGTCACAATGTTGACATTGTGTCATTAGTTAGAGATCTACTTGTCTCAAGGAACTCTTTGTATGTAACAGACAGTCTTTCCTATAATACAGAAAGTGAAGGCTCTTATTGTAACTATGAACACTGTTATCTGAATCATTATGGAAAGCAATTTGTTTGATGCTTGGACTGAAATGAGTTTAAAGCAAGGTCTCAGTCCTCAATCTTAGAATGTTTTAATAGAAATAGATTAAAGGTTGCTTTATATAATGTTCCACCCTATTTTATACTTAAAAAATATGCTAAGGAAGAGTTATTCTTCAAATATAGCATCTATAATAGGTTGTTACATTTTGGTTTCTATTTCCATTATACTACCATTTTTTGGCAGCTTGAACTTTTCTGTTTTCTTCATTAAATAAATCACTTTTTATGTCATTCATTTAGTCATGAACAAAGCTGTTGGTATTGTTCTGGAAACTGATATTCAGCAAAGCCCCTCATTAGAGCTAGGATCCAAAGTAAATATAAATAATTAATGAGAAACTACAATGTAGAATATCAATGCAAATTAAAAATAATAGAAACTATGAAAACATAAAATAAATAAAAATTAATATGTTAAATAGACTAGTTTATATATTCTAAATCACATACAAATGTCACATATCATACTATAGATATAAACAGTTTTGTTGTTAGGAATGGAATGGAAGGCCAGATATGGTAATGAGGTTTAAATATGATTTATAAATATGGTTTACAAATAATGCCTGATTTATTTTCATCAAAATTAAATTTGAAAACATGCCTTTCTATAAAGAAGTCTGGATAATTAAAAGGGAGTAAACAAATAATATTTTCAAAAATTCAAAGGGAACATTAGAGTGATATTTACCAGATTCTAGAAAGTAGCAAGAATAGGAAGAGGTATTCATGTAGGCCCTCAGCTCCTTTTCCCATTTTCCAGATATCTTTAAGTGAATACTATTACTCAAAAAGAATAATAGTATGATCTACATTCACTTGTCAAAGAATAATAGCTTATCACATTTTTCATATATATGTATGTATATATGTATATGATTGTTCAAATATGTACAATGTGAAAAAACAAGATCATTTTGTAATCAGAGGGCAATCTCTAGGATGGAGATTTATTAGTACATCACAATCAGGCCTATGCCTTTATGTGATGGATAACTTAAGAAATTAAAAATAAGTTTTTTGACTCATTCTTTACCTTGAGAAAAATTCTTTAAAGGTCATTAGATCCTTCAAAGTAGACTTCACAATCCCTTTAGAATGCTATTAATACTTGAAAATTTTTAAATAAGCCTAACAATATTTATGGTAACAATCATGATTAATTTCAGCTGTGTTAAATTTAGTTAATATTTCTTTCTACTCCAATAATAGTACACATTCAACTGTAATGTTTCCATAATCCAAATTGTAAAGAAAAGTAGAGAGGGGAAACAATTTTACAAAGTGGGATGAAAACTGTAATCAAAATAAATCCTTAAACAGATGGTTATATAAATTTTTCTTTTCGAAAGGAGCCTATTGTGAACAGACTGTTTATGTGTCTAGCCGGTGGAAGTGGATTATCTGTCTTGAATTGGATTGTGATGACGGTGACCCTATTCTAAGTAAACCAAATCTCTTGAACTATATAATGAGATCAGTAGGAACATTCAGCCTGAGATCGACAGATTGCAAGAACTGAGATGGTTTTGCTAAAGTTTTCTTCCAGCTTCTTCCTTTGATGTGCATGATACGGTGACTTTTTTTCCTGCAGACACCTCTGTTCTGTGTACCAAGTGGTTGTTTTTTCTCTTTTCCTTTTATTTATATAAGCAGAGCTGAATGAGTGCCCGAAAGCTACGCAATCTGTCTTACAAAAAGGTGACTGTGGAAGAGTCTAGATTATTCACTGACTGTGTGACAGAAATTGTAGAGAATGCACTATGAACAAATACTTCAATAATTCACTCTTATTTCTTCTTCTATTTAGGCTGTGAGGAAACAAAAGTTGCTTGAACAGAGTATCCAGTCTGCCCAGGAAATTGAAAAATCCTTGCACTTAATTCAGGAGTCGCTTGAATTCATTGACAAGCAGTTGGCAGCTTATATTGCTGACAAGGTGGATGCAGCTCAAATGCCTCAGGAAGCCCAGGCAAGTCATCCAAACTGGGAAGGAACATTTGTTTGTTTGTTTTTGGTTTGTTTGTTTTTATATTTTTAGTGTTTCAACTTCAGTGGGGTGCTGTTTGTTTTTCTATTTAGGTATTATTTAACTAATTGTGAAGATGTTTTTTGTTTCATTTATTCATTGAACTATTTGGAAGTGACATCTTAAATAAGTCTATATTGTAATTCTAAGATTTATTTCCTAATTATGCAGTGCACCAATTTCAAACAGAGACAATGAAACCAAAGAGAGCTGATATCTGTTTTTCCCAAATGTTTCAAAACTATACTCAATATAGATGAAAGCCAAAGCATAGTAATTATTTATGACACAGAAATAATTTATTCTGTTCTTAATCATTATTATCAACCATTTGCAAACAACTCATATTTGTTACAATGGATATTAGTTCTAAAACATGTTTCTGTCTTCATATTGTGCTACAAATAGCTAATAACACAGGTAGAAATATTGACCACATTGCTATTGATCATAATAGGTGTGCTCATGTGCACAAATTCACATACTCTCCTTCTTTGAATCCAAATTATAAAATGTTTCTAATTACATTTTCTGAAAATGATATTGAAAGTAGAAATTAATCCTATATAAGTTAGGATTAAGTAAATAACTTCATACCCTAACATATTTCATATGACAGTTTAAACAGCAAATTTCTGTTTTTAAATAATATGTAATTGCATGTAAAATCACATGCACATTATTATTTTTTTAAACTAAGATGCTAGAAATAGCAAATACGTACTTTGTAAAGTACACACACACACACAAAACTAACAACCAAGTGTAATTAATATATGTATGGAATGATGTGAGGGCATTAGAAAGTGATGTTTAAATCCCATTTTTCCTTTTCTACCTTATTTATACATATTTTGGAAGCAATCCAGTTTAAAAATCAGATAGTTGTGTATAATATAGGAATTAGAGATCATGGCTACAAATGCCATTCTGCTTTATTGAATCACAATTTGTTGCTCAGAGTATAAGTGCATGCATTAGCATTTAGTAGTTCACCATATTTTTTACATTTAACAAATGAAGTCCCTCTGAACTTGGAACAGATCATATAAATTTTTCATAATATAGAAAATTCTAGAAGAATGGATTCCTGATGGAATGCACACTATTGCAGTAGATGAAGAACAAACTGCATGTAAAGAATTATGATGATAAAATCAGACTTTGGACAAGAAAAATAAATAATGGAAATAGAGATAATACTAAATAATCACCGCTGTACATGCACTAAGAAAATAATCTTACAAAGTCTAGTCAAGTTCTTTAGTATTTACCGTTCATGTGACTATCTAAACTACACTCAACAGAAGCTTTTATAGTCAGAATTAGGTTCTCTCTCTCTGTCTCTCTCTCTCTCTGTCTCTCTCTCTCTCTCTCTCTCTCTCTCTCTCTCTCTGTGTGTGTGTGTGTGTGTGTGTGTGTGTGTGTGTAACACATTGAAGACAGACTAATGCTTTTATTAGCTTAGGTTTTAAAAAGGAAACCTTTTAAGAAAATGTATCTTGACTATCTGAGAAGAGAGTGGTCTTTGACCCTGGTTCAGTATCCTATTGAAAATAAGCATATAATATGATAGTTATTTGGCACTGACTTCCCTCTATTATAAATATAACAATACGGAACATTAGAGAATACAAACCAGCTGAAAACTGTTGAGCATTTATTTAGTTGAACCTGTTTTGTTTTTCACAGTGACTATAAATATATTGTTTTTTTGTAACAAGTTATCAAGCACTCGAATTTTAGTTGAGGATTGCATTTCCAAAATCCCAGCTGAAGTGCTAGTTGAAGACAGAGTTGGACAGTATAGAAGCTGTCTGATAAATAAGAATTTAAGTCGTATAGCAGCGTGTTCTTGTGGGACTCTTAACTGTGGCAGTGGGAGGTATTTCTGATACTTTTTCGTGCTTTTGGGACCCTTTGCCTCCTACTGGGTTGACTGGTCCACACTTAATATGAGGCAAATTGCCTAGTCTTGCTGTATCTTGTTATGTACTGTTCAGTTGATATCGCTGGGAGGCCTGCTCTTTTCTGAAGGAGAAACAAAGGAGCAGTGGATGGGGCGGGTATATAACTGAGAGGAGTGAATGAGGTGAAAATGTGATCAGGATATAATGTATGAGAGAAGAATAAATGAATGTAAATAGAGATAAATACAAACTAATTAAAGAAAAGAATTTAAGCAGTGTTTCAGTCACAGTACTTACTTAGAAAGCCCGTGAAATTACATTTATTTAGTTTTGTTTTCTGTGGTGTGAATGAAATTGGATGTTTTATAGTGGGCAGGAAAAATTGAAATACATTTCCTTAAATATAGTTCATAGCTCAATACCAATTTAAAGATGAGTAGACTTTGTATTCCCTGTCAGAAATCACATTTTTTGTTACAATACATCAATAAAAATACAGAAAAAATACATGTATAGTATTTCTGTGGTTGCTAATCATTTACATAAGAACTTAGATTTTCTGAGAGATGCTGATCTAGATCTGTGTGTGTCTGTCTCCACCGTGTGGTGCACTACTAGTTCTACTACTAAATGGGATTTCTAAATACATTGGTCTTTTCCTTCAGTTTAAATTGAGAGCCCTGAGTTTAAAAAAAAAAATCCTAACTGTATGAGAATACACGTCATGTGACAAACTTCTGACAGTTATATCTTATTGTACATAAAAGTATATGAAATGAATATTTTTTCTGGTTTATTCTTCCTGTTGCTTTTCATTTTTCTATTTGCCATTGATAGTGTGTTATAAATTTAAAATCACTTCATAGAAATGAGCTATCCAGCCATACCCAGTTGAATATTTACACTACATGGCAAGAATGCTATTTTTAGGTGGATATTAAGTACAAAAAGACAGCTAGCTGTCCAAGATAAAAAGTATGATTATTGCTTAACTGTGGTTAACTTGTTGGTCCAATAATTTTTGTGGTTCACAGACTTACAGCTGGGTAGTACTACTGATTGTTACTTTCTCTTGACAGTTTGCATAATAACTTCCAATCATATGAGTCCAGTCCACAGGGAAGAGACCTTTTGGTCAGTTCTAGCTGAATTCTCCCATATCCTGAATCTGAAGTATTTGATATATTCAGCGATATGGCATTACATTCAAATTCTGGGAGGCAAAAAGACCGACAGCAATACCCTATAATGTTTTGGAGATTGCTTGAACTCCATAAACCAACTTTAGAGGTAGTTTTGTTCACGCCTGGCATGAGAGTTTAGTTAGATTGTTTATGGCATGCACATGTGTGTGCTCACATACAGACATGCATATTTAAACATCTTATGTTTTTTAATGGTTTGGTATATTAGTTAATTTTCTGTTATTACCATAAAATACTATACCCAAGGCAACTTATGAGTGAAAGTCTTTACTTTGGCTTGTTACACCATATAGTCAGAGTTTATAGTGGAGAGTAAAATACAGCAGCAGTCAGACGGCCTGGTGGCAGGGATAGGGACCATAAGGCTTCATTTTTTTTTAAAGCCAAACACACGAAGTAGAGATTAAAAACTAAACTTCAAGTAATGATGTTTTTTTAATCTCAAGAACCACCCTAAGTGACATAATTCCTCCATTAAGGCTATATCACACCAAAACCTCCCAAACAGTGACACAAAATAAGGCTCAGGTATTGAAATGCCTAAGACTATGGCTGATACTTCTCACTTAAGCTACTATATATAATGATGGGATTTGATTTATGTAATTTGAATTTTCTAAATCTGATAATGCATTGGAAATTTCCATTAGATTGTAGGTGAAGATTATACTTTATTAGACCCATTTTGTTAAGTTCTTTACTGTTTCCGTTGGCTTGACAAAAATTTTATATGTAGCCAGGATGATAATTTTAAAAAATTTGTTGTTTACCTTTCACAAACATGTAATGAATAATAGGGTAGAACCAGAGCTCAAGCTGTACAACCTTCAGAATTCTCTGAAGAATTTATAAATTTGTTACAAATTTGTGTGGTATCATAAAGCCCTCATGTTTTCTAAAAAAATATAAAATCATCATTGAACTTTATCAAATAATCCAGTTCCCTTATCTTGTCTTCAAGCTATGATATTCTTTTATTCAAAATCCATTAATCAGTGAGGTATTTCCAATGAGCATTTATTTTGCTTATTGAGCTTTACATTTCCATAATCATGTTATTGGCTTCTTTTCAGCAATTACCTTTACTGAATTCTACTTTAATATATCCAGTTTACTTTCTTGTATTGTGCTGTGCTGTGCTGTTCTCCCTCCCTCCCTCCCTCCCTCCCTCCCTCCCTCCCTCCCTCCACACCTCTGTGTGTTTGTGTGTGTCTGTGTGTCTGTGTGTGTTTGTAGGAGTATATGTGTTCTTTCAGAGTCTGTTTGTCTCTTCTTTGAGTTATTTGAAGGTATTTCTCACCATTCGTTTAAATTCTTTAGAAGTAATTCTAAGTCATTGTCATTGGGGGGTGTCATTGTTACAGGATTCATAATCTCTGGAGGAGACATAGTGTCTTGGCTTTCTGTATCATTTTTGTTTCTGTAAGAGGCTTGAATAACTGATATTATTTGTTAGTTCAATTTTTTTCCTTACTTAGGCAAGTCATCTTTCTTTAAGCAGAGGCATCTATAGTATTCATGAAAAGATGAAGTCATAATGTAATTTCCTAATAATTTTTCACTGGAATTAGTATTCACAGTCATCACTTCTTTCAACTGTGTTCCTCTGTGAGTCCACTACTATGATTTATGACAATTACTATCCATGAATCAACATAATCATAACTCATCTCTTTCTCTACACTCTCTCATATGGCTTTTTGTACCCAGAAAACTTATCCTTGTTAAGATATGGGCAATAATCAATTTCTTTGAATATTATCAGTAAAATACTTTCTGTAATTACTGTAATTTTATATACTTTGATTAACTTATAATAGTTCTATCTAGCAAGATGATCTAATGTAATCATCCATTTGGCTTCCATTGAAGGGATGTCACTTTTATTTGGCTTGATAAAATGCAATTGTAATATATACATATTCCATTTACCATAATTTATTTTGGCATTCATATATTCATGGACACATATGTTCAATTAATATCTTAGCAATTGTGAATACTGACACAATAAATATGAATTTGCAGCAATCTCTTTTGTATGCAGAATATTTTAGATGTAAAGTTGGTACCAGGGTAAGTGCCTTGTAAATTATATTGACAGAGCTTCAGAAAACCTATGCCTTGTCAATTATAGTAGTAATAGTATGTTATATTGCTGCCAACAGTATATGGGTTCATTTTTATCTGTATACTCACCAGTATATGTTTCTTTTCATTTTTAAAAATGATACTAATCCAATTTGGGATGAGATGATACCTAATTTCATCTGTGACTTGTCATAACGGATAACTTTGAGCATTTATATATTTCTATATTACTTATATTTAATTTTTGATAAATATCATTTCACATGGTCTAAAAATTTTCATGTGATTCCTTATTCTTTGTTTCATTTTTAGTAGATTTCATAATTTAAATGTCAATACTGTTCAGAAAGACAGAGGAATTTTTGGCAGATAATCTTCTCACATTCTCTGGACTGTCTCTTCAGGATGTTGATTGTTTCTGTTTCTGTTCAATAGCTTTATTGGCTTGTGTAATACCATTTTCCTGTTTTGTGTTTGTGTTCTGTGATTTTGTGCTCATGTCATAACAATTTAAAAGAAAAATAGAAATGACTTGAAGTGCTTGCATAGTTTTCTTCTAGTAATTTCAGATTTTCTGGTCTTAGCATTAGGTTTAATCAAAACATAATGATTATTTTGAGCTCCCTTTTTTTTTAGTTTATGGAAAAATAAACTCAAGTTGAGTGTTTCACATGGGGGTATCCTGGCTGTCTTTCAATTATATTTTAATGCTACTTTGGTTAACCAGTTGGCTATGGGAGATCATTCCATAATTTTTGTTTATCTTCTTCAATTTCCTTCACTCATGCTTTTGAAATTGCCACTGTAGAGGATTTTCACATTCCTTGTAAAATTAATTAGTAGAATTAATACTTATTTAATTTTGGTAGCAATGGTGGTTATGGTTGCTTTCATGAATTTAGGCTCAATCTGTTCACTATTAACATATGAGAACTTCTGAATGTCATGTATTAGTTTTATATTCTGCTGCCTTAATTTAGTTTGTTTTCCATTGGGTTCTAATTAAAAAAATAAAACTTCAGTTTCGGAATAATGAAAGCCATTTTAGTTGATCACTTAATTTTCTCCAAACCTACAAAAGAGAACAATAACAAACCAAACAAAAAGCAAAGTTTGAGCAAAGTATCTTAAAAGTATCTTTTGTGCTCTTGGGCACATATGTTTTCATCTATGGTCTGTCTAGCTTCCTCCTTTGTTGATGGCCAGGATGGAGTGAACAAATGTCTACAACAGCATGCTCTCTCCTTTTCACTCTTGTATTTTATTAATACTTGAAACTAAATACATTGATGCCATACATAGTTAGGGCAGGTTTTTTACTATTTGTTAATCTCCAGAAATATGCTTATAGACATGGCCAGATATGTCTTTCACTAATCTACTAAGCAGTTTATAGTTCAAAATACTTTGGCAATCAAACTTCCCAATCATACTGTTCATTTAGGACAGTATGATATTTAATTCTTGATTGCTACTTATAGTTAAAGTCATGCCTAGTTTTGTTGTTTTTCAAAATTAAAAATGCTTTTAGTTTTCCAGCCTTACACTTTTCTATGAAAATATGTCCAATTAAATGCAATCCACTAAACTGAAATAAAAATGAAAGAAAATATTGTTGTAAGTATACAGGACTGTGTCACAGGTGATAAAGGCAAAATAATTTTATTTTTTAAAGGAAACTAAAAATTATGATATTGGTAACAGTTACGTATTGTAATCTCTAGTGGTTTTGTGGACTAAAGAAATTCATTTGGTTGGGGGTTTTTGGCATCTCTAATAAGTTTATTTTAGGTTTGGGGCTGATAATTTGGTGACCTGTTTGCTCAACTGGGCTCACTCACGTGAAGTTATCGGCAAAGAGTTTTTTGGAATTATTTATTGAAGTATACCAGCCATTCAAGGTTCTTAGAATGTGAGATGATTTTAAGAGACAATATCCTATGAATAAAAACACAAACCCCAAATTAGAACTAGAAAATAGCAAGATAGTTGTATACTTTCACTGTAGCAGGAAGATCAATTCTTGTTCTCTTTTACTTTTGCTCAAATTACCAGCCCAAAATTTCAAAAAATGAAATAAGCCTAACAATTTGATAGAAATTGAAGACAAAAATTTTGTTTCTTTAAAATTTAAAAATCAATAGCTGTATGAACCAATTCAGTGTCTTAAAAAGTAATGTCACTTAGATTCTTCTTTTCTTTGTTTCTAAAAAAATCTTCCACATGTTATTGTGTTTGAATTCTTTTCTTATAATAGCATGTGACACTCTTTTTGGTTGTTTCTGAAACTATTTGTTGCCTAGCTGGATACTAAGTATAACTTTCTGGAGGTTTGGGAGTCCTTTGTGCTAGTCTAAAATCTGTAAAATCTCTTGGTCTGTACTATGAGAACAAGCAAATGATAACCCAAACTTTCAATTTATAGATGAAGTTATCTTAACTGCCATTATTTCTCCAAAGTAGTAGAATATTTCTGCTAAACTTATGAGGTTAAATAAGGCACCACTAATTCAGATTGTTTCTCCCAGATATTTGGTTACAGCAATGAGAAAAGGAAATAACACAATTTGCTTATTCTAATTTTCATGAACTTAAACTGAAATATTCCAAAGAATCACACTAAGAATATCATTTTTTCACCTCCATCATGGCTACATTACTTGTACATTTTGGCATTTATATATTTGGCCAGATTTGAATATATTTTCGAAATAAAATGCAATCAATAATTAATATGACATATAAACATAAATACTATATCAAAAATTATATCCATAGGATTTTTATAATGATCTCACTTTTGAAGAGAGAAATAATTACTTTTTTGATCATATAATGAAGATTTGAGGAATTCTTGTCTAATTTGAGGAGTATGGGTTGTTAGTGATAGTTCATGAATATTTCAAAATTCTATTTTCTTGGAATAGGTATTTCCTTTGCAATAATCTTAAGAGTATGTTGGCTAATAGTGTTTTCTTTCCAACAGAAAATCCAATCAGATTTGACAAGTCATGAGATAAGTTTAGAGGAAATGAAGAAACATAACCAGGGGAAAGATGCCAACCAAAGAGTTCTTTCACAAATTGATGTTGCACAGGTATATTTTATTTTAAAACCTAGGGAGATTGATTTATAATTATACAATTTTGTTTTAAGCAAATTCAAAATTATACTATAGTGTCTATCAGTATGATTTTTAAAATATAACTTCTATACAGTTTAAAAATAAGTTAAGTTATGACTGTTTAGTATCACATTTATTCAGAATACTATTCTCTCAATGACAGGTTCTATGTGTTAGAAAAAGATGTATAAATTTACATTTATATTTTTTAAATTTTTTCAGAAAATGAAAAATTTATAAACATATGACTGTTTGAATTATTAAAGATAGATTAATTAATATTTCCTTATATTGCTGTTACAGAAAAAATTACAAGATGTCTCCATGAAATTTCGATTATTCCAAAAACCAGCCAATTTTGAACAACGTCTAGAAGAAAGTAAGATGATTTTAGATGAAGTAAAGATGCACTTGCCTGCATTGGAAACAAAGAGTATTGAACAGGAAGTAGTCCAGTCACAACTAAGTCATTGTGTGGTATGTATGCCTAGTACCAAATATACAGCTACCCTTCAGTTTGCTATAAGAATTCAGTAATCTTTGGTAACAATATATTACATACAACTGTAATCATTATAGCATATAATTTTAAGAATAAGAAAAATGACAATTTATTAAGATATAGCTTTTATGGAAATAAAAGACATTTGATAGCATTTTAGAAGTGTGATTTTGAGTCAATAATTTTATTAATAGCTACACAGAATAAAGAAGGAGTATTATTTACATTATTCTTTCTTGGTACATATTATGAAAAAGAATTCAAGAAAGGAAATAGATGAATCTAGAAATTCTAACTGCAGCAGTAGTTGTAATAGTAATAACCACACCAGAATTAATGTTTCTCAGTAAGTTTAAATTAAGTAGTCATCTTTATTCTCAAGCTTACAGATTACCTGAGAGAAATTAAAGACATACAGCTGTGAAAGGCACCACAGATTACATTCTAAATACAATAAATCCTAATGTATTGAATATACACTTAAATGTCACCAGACCACAAAACATAAATATATTGTTTGTACTATAAGATGTCTTTACAAATGTGTCAGTTGTATCTGTATAAATGGATAAAGCCTTCCTATTTTGCAAGTATTTTCATCAATAATTTGGATGTCTTTAATGGAATAACTATATTCAGTAGCTTGACCATCCAAAAAAGTATTTGATTATAATGTTATGCAGTGATTTACTGATAATAGACAAATGAGAATAGGCATACATGGTGTCAGAGATTAAAATTTTCAAGAAGAATTAAAAATAAAAATGCAGCATTACTTAAATTTGCAATGGGAAGGACATTCATTCTCTTTAAATAGAATAATGCTTCGTAATAATTATCTTCTAGTTAATGATCTCAAAACAACTACTTTATGTCTGTACAAAGAGATCAGCAAAATCATTAGCTTGGTCTGTATCTAGTTCTAGTACAAATATTGGAAACAATGGGAATGCATTTTCTGTGAAGACATCTTTCTTCACAGATTTTATATTCTCTACTTTTAAATATGCTTTATGATGATATATACTATAATCCTATCCTTGTCTTCAAGAATTTTTTGTTGTTTTGTTTGTTGTTGTTGTTGTTGATGATGATGATGATGACAATGATGATGTTGCTGATAATGATTTAAGATATGTAACTATATAGACTGAGAGGTCTTAAATTTATGAATCTTGTGCCTAAAATCTCCCAGGTACTGGAATTAAAAGCTAGTGCCATCCCTGCTGGCTACAACATTATTTTCTGAAACAAAACATCTTAACATGATCACAAAAACAAATATCATTTTCATTAAATTATAGTTTGGATTAAATATGGAACAATTTAATCCAGAACTACATCCATCACTATATATTATCTTATTTAGAGATTTTCCTATATATATATATATATATATATATACATATACATATATATATATGCACAAAGGAAAAATTTTCATGTATATACACATACTACTTTATATACTTCTCATAAAATAAGTACAAAACAAACTGTAACACCAAAGTGACACTGGCAGTATATTCATAATTGCACCTGCTTTTCAGAGTTACAATACTAGCCTCCTAAGGCTTTCTTATGCTAAACTATCCATGTAAAGCTATATGTGTATGGCATAAGTTCTGTGAGTAATAATGTAATTCTACTGTTTTATATTCTCATTGGTGTCAATAAAATATATTTTTATATTTCCATGAAAATATTCAAGATTAATTCATTTTTCCATGTTTTAAAATATACATGGCAACTGATTTAGATATTTATATTTTATCCTAATTAAATGTAAGTGCAATGAACAAAACACTTTATTTTTTACTTCATATGGCAGGAGTGCAAATACTATCTGGTAGATTTTAGGCACTAGATAAACCAGAAAAATTATTACAAAAATTAGTATATTCATTCTTATAAACTTATGGCTAGAATTGAAAAAATGTGGCACATAAAATACAAACCCTATAATATTCAGATATGATATTTGTGAGTTACCATTGAAGAACTAAATATATATGGTGTATTTAATTTATATGAATAACTGCAAATTATACACATACATTTTTAATCACAAATACCTAGGTTAACTCAATAGAAAATACAATATGATATGACAACAGCCACAAAATACATTCCATTTAACTTATAAACAGAAAAAGGCAATTAATGTCTTGTCTTTATATTAATAATACAGTACTCCATACATTTTATACTACTTACATTTGTTTTATATTTTAACATAGAATTTGTATAAAAGCCTGAGTGAAGTGAAATCTGAAGTAGAAATGGTGATTAAAACCGGACGTCAAATTGTACAGAAAAAGCAGACAGAAAATCCCAAAGAGCTTGATGAAAGAGTAACAGCTTTGAAATTGCATTACAATGAGTTGGGTGCGAAGGTGAGTACATACTTAGAGAAATATCACATTTTATGATATTTACAGTATATTTTTAAACAGCATACAAGATAAAATATAATACCAGAAATCCTTATTGTGATTCTCAGTCTCATTCGTGTATTTCCAAATGAAATTGATACTAAAATATTTTTAGTCTCTGCTTATCCATATAAAGTCAAACAGCACATAAAGCTTAAGGATGTATTTATTGGTGAATCAGATAAAGATTTTTGTTGTTCTAAAACCCTTTCTGTTCAGTGTAAGAAATGTATTTACTATGTATTTACATTCAATTATAATTGCAGTGACATATATATATATATGCATACATATGTATAGATTAGTACCAGATCTCTATTCCCTCCCTGACAACTCCTACCAAATCCATTTTTAATATATATGTTTTTAATTTAACAATTTCAATTAAATTTAATTAAATAATTTAATTTAATATAATTTTTCTTTTCTGTTTTTGATGCTGCTGCATGGTGAAGGATCATGTTAAATATATTTTGATGATGCCTCTATCAAAGAATGTTAGTTTTTTTTATACTTTATATGGTAAAAATACAAACCAAAAATGTTTTATTCTATATGAGCTTAATATTTATTCGCATCCATACACTGAAATTTTGTGATGGGTGAGTACTTCTTATTTATTTTTAGACAGGGTCTCATGAAGCACATGTTTGTCTTGAATTCACAAAGTCTCTGAGTTTTACTTTGAACTCCTGGTCCTTCTACTTCCATTATCCAAGTGGTGGCATTACAATCACATTACATGTCTGGCTTGTATTTCCTTCAGTAATAAAGAAAAAAAAGTCTAGGAAAACTTGACATTTTCATCATGTTCTTTCAGTGATAAATGATTATTTGGGCCAATTTTTTTTTTTTTTTGCACAGAACCATTGTCTTAACATGAGTATTTGTGGTATAAAACACCACTGAAAAATTTATTTAGAATTTAAAACAACAAAAATAAAATTAGACTATTAGGACCAACAGTTGATTCTTGTTAAGAATTTAATGAATCTAATAATGATGCAAAGTCCTACTTATTCCCTAAAGTACAAATTTGATTGCTTATATATAACAATTTAACACTATAATACCATTAATATAAAATAATGAAATGACTCTTTAATAGCATATCAAAATGCATCACAAATTGAGGAAAAATTGTATTTGAAGTAAATATTAATTTAGAAACAGTAATAATTAAGAGTTGGCATATAAACACAGTTTTATAAAAATACTATAATTCCTGTATTTCTTACCTAAGAAAAATACTTTTCTATTTATTGATCTTCAAAACATCTTCAACCAGAGTGGCTTTTTAACAAAATAAAAGACAAAAAAATGTATTTGAGGGTATTATTCTTTTAATATATAAATAGAAAAAACATTCTAATTTAATTGTCTTCAGAATTTACATGTTTGTACTTAATTCAGTACATTGTCATTTGTAGTAAACAGTTAATACTGCAATTACAAGATGAAAAAACACTGTGGAAATACCAATAAAAGTATTGTATTCTTCAAACATCTATGGACTGCTATTCTAACCTGAAAGTGTTGACCTACCTAGTTTATAATGAGGACTCTCTTAGATTATAGATTGCCAGTTTTTCACCGTGTCATCACTGTAGGGAGATAAAAATCACTCACTCTTTCTTTGTACAAAGCCACTGTCCTATAAGACTAGCAACTCATACTTGTGACCACGTTTAACCTTAATTAATGACTTTAAAGCACATATGCATATATTCAAATACAATTACAATGAGGTTATGATATTTGCATATGAAATTTGAGAATGATAATTTGGCCTTCAGCACATTTCTTAAAATGTAGGGGTTTTTAATTTTAAAAACACCAATGAGTTGCATTGTTCAAAGAATACAAAGTGAATTTTCTTATGTCTAAGTTTCATCAATTTGAATGAGAAATAGTCCATATATATATATATATATATATATATATATATATATATATATAGTCCATATATATATTTCTATAGCTCCATTGATATAATGCCTATATTCATTAATTTCTTCACTATGTTTTGACAATTTTTGAAAATAAGCATGAATAACAATGTCATCTTCAAAATACAGTTGTTAATGAATATTAAAACAGTACTACTGAGGCATTTTAGTCTCTTTTTAAATATTTATTTTTTGTTCTCATAGACAAGAACAACATAAAATTTTTCCTTAAGGTGGCAGTATCTCATGTATTTTAAAACTTACTTAGTTGCATATAAACAAAATAAAATAAATAAAAATCAATAATGCATGAGCATAGAAAAATTGTATTCATGTGAAATATTTAATCTGTAATTTTTTTCTATTAATAGAGCTCATAAATAAAATAAATATACATGGGAGCACATTATAATTTTTTTAACCAATTGCATGCAAAAAAGATCTTTCAGTAAAGTGGGTAAATATTAATAATTCCCTTGGTTAAAAAGCAAAATTATTCAATCTGGGCCAGGGAGATGGATCAGGTGATAAAGAAAATTTCTTCTAAGCCTTATAAATCATGATCAATTGCTGAGACCCAACATTGCAAGAGAGAACAACTCTCTCTTGCAAAGTTGTCATTTGCATTGCACACATGCTCTATGGCATAGGAAAGTTCATACTTGTAAGTGTTCAAACATACACAGAGAGATAGAGTGAGAGAGAGAGAGAGAGAGAGAGAGAGAGAGAGAGAGAGAGAGAGAGAGAACCACCATTACCCAGGAAATAATGTATGGATAAAAGAATAAAATAGCTAGTCTACTAGGGGTTGCAATAGCTCAGTCAGTGAAGCACATGTCTCACAAGCATGAGGATTTGAGTTAAGTGAATTCATAGAACACATGTAAAAATACTGGATTTGGTGGCCCATACTTATAATCTCATGCTTGGGATACAGACACAAGAATAATCCTGGGCTAAATGGTAATATTGCTAGGCTAATTGGTGATCCACAGACGTGTCCACCAAGTAGCGTTAGACACTTTTCCTGAAGATGCCATTTGAAGTTGTCTTCTGCTCATGCACATACAGAAACTGTCATGCTTATGCACCCACAATACACATAAACATGTATATACATGGCTATATACACCTTTAACACTTTGAATGTGTATCCAATATGTAAACATTATATATATATATGTATGTATATATGTATATATATATGTATATATGTGTGTGTGTGTGTGTGTATGCGTGTGTGTGTGTATCAAATACATCTCTCATAAATTTTGTTGAATATTTGAAATTTATATCAGCATTTTTATTGAAACGTGTTAAACACTTTAGACATTCTTTTAGTTTTCATGCCAATAGTCACACAATATACACACATAGTGTATACATAATATATACATTCATACATATATCTTTAGAGGCTGGAGCATAAATATACATTCATACTGTTTGTTTACTTTCTTATATAATTTTATATCAATTCAGACTAATTGTAATTTTATTTTTCAGATATTGTATTAATCAAACTAAATATTGTGTAACCCATGCCTTTAATCCTAGCACTTGGCAGGCATAGGCGGTTAGATCTCTGAGTTCCAGGACACTCTGGTCTACAAAGTTTAATTAGGACAGCACAAAGAAACCCATCTCAAAAACAAAACAAAATAAAACAACAAAAATCTAACTAACTGGATAAATAAATAAATTTATTTTTTGCCAGCAAAGTAGTAGTATAAACATAATTTTATCATATAGTTACATATACAGTTTCTATTATGCCTTTTCAGAATAGCTTATATTGAACACAAATACTGTTTACATAGGAAGGACTTCAAATTAATATGACACTGACTGAAACTTCTGCTGAGTTTTCTCTTTATAATATTTTATTGTGCTCCTTGAAGCATATACTTGCTAATTTTCTAATGGAGAATTTTCTTTTCTTCTTATTTTCTTTTCTTTTAGATCCTGGTTTTTATCCATAAGAGTAAAATTATGAGGGTGAAATTTTTGGAGTTTAAAACCAATTTGTCCTTTTTAGTTAGAAATTCTGTTTATGGAAAATGTTCTATGAAAAAGCAATTTTAAAATGTACTGAAGATAACATTGGCAGTTGTATACAATACATAAGTATGTTTGCCTCTCTAAAAAATATTCTTGCTCCTGCCTAGCAAGAGAAAGATTCGTTTGTATTTTGAAGACAGTAAGCCTGTTTGTCCATGTCTCTGTCAAATGACTATAGGTCCTCTATGTAAAATAGGTCCTATCTTCTGTTTGGCTTCTATTTTCCTGTTTATTTCAAACTTTGGCCATAAATATTGTTTTTAATTAAATAAGAAACAGATTCACATAATTTATATTGTTGCTGCTATCATGGCAGCAAGTACAAGACACTGTATTTTGGTTAAGCATTTCTGTTGCTGAAGACTTTTGAACTGACTATTAATTTCCTGACTGTTTGATAAGATAGAAAGCAGCATGTAAGAAAATGGTTATTTTATACTGATTGAAATATAAAAATTCCAATATATTCAGTATATATAAAGTTGACTTACAAAGTAAGCAAAATATATTATAATTTATTATTATTATTATTATTATTATTATATATTTAGGTAACAGAGAGAAAGCAACAGTTGGAGAAATGTTTGAAATTGTCCCGTAAAATGAGAAAGGAAATGAATGTCTTAACAGAATGGCTGGCAGCAACAGATACGGAATTGACGAAGAGATCAGCAGTTGAAGGAATGCCAAGTAATTTGGATTCTGAAGTTGCCTGGGGAAAGGTACAACCCATATTACTGAAAGTTATTTTTAACATATATGAAAACTCTCAGCAAAACTTATTTTATAAACAAATAGTAATGTCTAACAGTAATAGAATTATCAATATTATCTTGCTTCATTTTTCCTTTTCTCAAGAATTAATCAAGGGCTAACTGTATATTTCAAGCCTGATAATTAAAATAGTAAACTTTATGAAAACTCTCTCTAAAGCATACATGTAATAAATGGTTTATTAATAAATCTTTTAAATTACATAAATTATTATATAAAATTAGTATAAAATATCTATTAGCCACTATAGATATTCCATGTTGATCAAATCCATTCAAAGTTTCAACTCTATAATTCACAGAGATAAAGTTCTATGTTTTTTAGCTTACCTCAAAATAGAATGCTTATGTAGAACATGTAATAAGAGATGCATCAAATTACAGTGACTGTGAGCAGTTCAGCATATCAACTATGTTATTATCATCAATAATCTAAAGGGCCTGAGTAGGTTCTACATTCTGTTACCAAATGGCATCTAACCTACATTCATTCTACCTGGAAAACTCTTCTCATTTCTCTGACAGCCAGAGAGACATGTCTTGCTGCCTAGAATTTAAAGTAAAAAACTCATAGCTTAATTTTTCCTAGGTAATTAATTACTAGATTATTTGAAGTTGTCTGATTAAAAAGGAAGTAACCTATGTAGTTGGTATTAATAGCATATTTTCATCTTAGACTTTGCCAAAGCATTGAACCACTTACAAAGCAGAGTCTCATTTAAAAAAAAAACTCAAGTATTTGAATATGTAAATTAGCTATCCCAAGATATTTGTACTGATTTTTATTTCTAAAATTTTTAAATGTAGAGTGCATTACGTAAAAAACTTATGATGACAGGATGCTGTACTCAAAACTATTTTTTGCATTAATATAGAGAATGTATAATGGTAATTAAAAAAATATGTAGTGGTAGATTACATTCCCTTTCAAACACTTAGAACAGTTATTTCGCATTACAACTCTTATTTCAAGTTCTCATATTATTTGAGATTATCATAAGGAAAAAACACATGATATTGACTAAAAAATGAATTGGCTTTATTTTCCCCTTACTAGTCTAACATACAATGTCTTTATATTTGTTTAGAGTAAATCAATAATTATATGCTTAGGTACAAGCTAAGCTACTATAAAAATTGTCCAAGATGAAATGTTTCAGAGAAGGTAAATATGAGATTTTTATCTGCTATACTCTCACCAGTTTTGGTTTAAGGAATTAACTTTGCTATAAGAAAACATCCAGAGGCTTGAATAATTTCTTTGCAAGAGCATTGGTATGTTTCTCCTCTTAGTATAAAACCTTCTCATCCACAAAAAGGAAGATAATGGAATAAAAAACATCAGTTCTCTCTCAAAGATGGATCGTAAGAGCTTCATGCATTATTTTTTATCTTATTTCATTTACCAGAACTAATGTTGCCTAATCTATTTGCTAGACTTGGTAACAAAATAGCAACTTGAGATGAGCAAAGTTGCACCATCCCTAAATGACCTTGCACTGAAATGAATATAGAGAGAATACCTTTTAAGACATAATTATCTTGGCAAATGCAGTATCTTACTGGCCTTTTATCTCTTTATCTAAAAAATGAGAAAAAAATAAAATCTACATAACCTGCAAACTTATAAAAACCTGTCATGCCTACCAACTTCTAGTATAAGTAGTCATAAAATAGTACAAATATTTTGTTCTTTTCTTTATAAAATAAAACAAAATGTACAAACTGCCTTTCAGGGATTCATGAATACTATTCAGAATTGATTTTTAGTAAGTTCCCATCATCAGAGATATATCTTTATTGCTGGCTTCAAAATGATCTGGTTCAATCAACTGTCAAGAGTTCCTTAGGAGACTGTACAATACAGTGGTTTAAACACTCATTTTCCATAGTTCTGGAGACTGAAAATTCAAGATCACTAGTCAGGAAGGTTACATTTTTGAAAGCAATTTCCCTTGGCTAGTACATATACATATTGCTTTTCACATTGGTGTCATCTATGGACATATATGGATACCAGATTAATCTTCTAATGATGCTATCAGTTACATAGATTCATTATCACTATTTCATTATAGCAATTAACTCTGCAAGTATCCTATTGGTATAGAGTCACATTCTGAGAAACTTCATCAAGTGAATTTTGGGGGAATATAAAACAAATTCTGACAGAGAAGCAGCCATGGAATGTAGAAAATTTCCATAATATTGCATAATGAACTAGATCTAGAGGTGAAAGAAAACTTAGCTAATTGCATTTCATGACCACCTTAGGAGAAATTTTAGAGTTATATGAAATATAGTCTTATTCTGGAATCTCCATAAAGATTTTTCCTCTCTTTACTAAAGACTTATATTATCCTTAATGCCTTCCTCACTACACACACGAAAATTCCACCATGATGTCTTTCAGTAAGTTCCCTAAGTTATAGGAGGTTTGAGTAGTTTGAAACCTTGGCTACGGATTGAGTCTTCATCTTATCTCTTTAGTTTGCTCACAGTTAATGTACTTTCTTGGCAAAAGGGGGTACTGCTTGACCCAGCTCCTCTGTTCTCTATATTTTTGCTACATGGCTATGTGATCCTTTTGTCTTTGTAGTCTCTTGGTCTCCTGGCCTATTAACCTCTGGGTTGTTCCCTCTCCCCTTCCTCCTTTCCTCATATGACCTGGTCCATTTTTTTCTGGGCATATTCTTAACTCTAGAAAATTGCAAACAACACTGTCTCTGCTTGTTTTCTCCCTATTATCTACAAAAACAACAACAGAAAACCCACAAAAACAAACATAAAAACAAACCAAAAATTAAAAAAATAGAAATACCTCAACCCTTTAATAGTAGCCATGTACTACTTTTTTTTCTTTCTGTTTTTTAATCCACTCCTATGTAGTCAACAATGGCTTTCAATATACTTTAACTTCAAACACATGATCTTGGGAAGTGAAGGTTAGGGTCTGGCTGTGGGCTCTAAGAAGCTCCTGCCCTGATGGCAGCTGTAGTTCTAAGGGTAGACACCATGGGCCCTCAGTGTATCTTCCCCAATCAGACTGAGGATTTAGAGCACATCAGGATCCTACAGAAGGAACTGGCGATTGGAGCAATGAAGAACCCAAAAAAGATCAAGAGGAAACAGGAGCAGGCCCAGTAGGCTATTTCTACAAGCTCCTCAATCAAGAGTCTAAACAAGAAGAGGTAGAATTGGCACCAGTGGGTGAAGGAGAAGATGGACTTGTTGATATCCAAGATGGGATGCAGGCCCTGTGGCTTCATTTGCCAGACACACCATTGGAGAATTAGGATAAAGATAAGGAGGAAACTACAGCATTGAGCAGCCACAGCTCTATCCCCATAGACCCAGAACAGGAGTGAGGGACGAAGGAGAGAGGGAAGGAGGAGGGGGAGGGGGAAGGGGACGGAGAGGG